GCAGTAGTGGGGGTCGGTGATGGTGTGGGCCTCCGGAGCAGACCGAGATCCCGCAGCTCTTCGGCGTGAAATGTACTTCAACAAAATATGTTTTATTATTATTATTATTATATTAAATTACTTTGTATTAATGATAAATTCTATTTTTGTTGTCTTGAAAAACAAAAAACGGTAAACCTGCAGCAGGTGGGCGTGGCTCTTTCCAGCGGCGCTGATGTTGTCGCCTGCGTCCCGCGGATGTGGCGCGAGCGCTGATGAGGTTTGCGGATGTTTGAGGTTACGCGCTCCGCTGACAGACTCAGCAAGTAAGTTGATTTTTCACCTCCTCTCAGCAAGTAAGTTGAGTTTTCACCTCCTCAGGAAACTCACAGCAAACACCAAAATGATAAAACAAAACCGTCCGCGTTGACACGACACACGCGCTCGGGTTTGTTTTATATTCAGCGTGGGAGTGTTTAAAAGCCGTCGAAGCTCGTAAGCGCTTATTTTAAAGTTAAAGTGGCAGAAAATGAGCTATTAGCGGTGGCTAGCTGGCTAACTGACTAGCTTCAGGTTAGTTAGGCTGCTTCTCACTGACAGTACACATTGTGTTTAGGATTTTAACTAGCTGTTATGATGGGTTGTGTGTGTGTGTGTGTGTGTGTTATGAAAAACGTTAGTAGTAGTACGAAACGGTGTTAGTCAGCCTTATTTTTTTGCTGTTGAAGGCGTTTCCTGTCTCTTTAAATCCCTGTTTAGTCAGCTGCTAATATTTTGATGTTTTTTTTTGCAGGGATTTACGCACAAATTTATATTTTATTTATTCTTAAATAGCTGGTCATAACAGCTCGGTAAACAGGGTTCGTTTTGTGATACTGTTTGCTTACTGTGCGTGTATTTATGACACTACATTTCGTAATAAAAAAATTAATTAATCATTTGTATAAATATATGGCTCAAACCCTGTCAGTTAGATGACTGTGACAGGTGTGATGAATAAAATATTGTGATTTACATAATTGAAAGGCACGCTAGTTTGTTTGGCTAATGTTTGAAAAGGTTTATGATGGTAAAACAAACATGCCAGTTTGTTTAAAATGTTCAGCTCTGCTAGCCATGAACTCCTCACCGGTGTTTTTAAACGTTAAAGGCCTCACCTCACTTCTCCAAAGCTCAAGAATAACGGGAAAACTGTACAGTAGTAACTTGTCTACACTTATTGAAAATGTCTTAATGTTACCACAACAATGAATAATTGCAAATGCATCATTGGTGATTGACAGGCTGTTATAGAGCCGTTTGTTACTGTTCTGGTTCATTTAGCTTTAAGAGTGTTTCAACTCAAGGCTTTTTTTGTGAATATACCAGAATATAAACATATTTTGTGAATATACCAGAGAAAACATCCTATAGTTTCAGTTAAAAAAAAAAAAAAATCTAAAAGGGAAAACCCTTATTCAATCCAAACAAATGTTGATAATAATATTAACCTTTTTATATCAATATTAAATATTAATGTTAATAGTATTTAGGCTGCAATTCCCAAGTAAATTCAAATAATTATTTGATATAAATTGTATTAATTTAGCTTTTTATTAGTATTTTTGTTTGTTCATATGTATTAATTATTTATTATTTTTGCTATTTTGTATTTCTATTTGTTCTATTTTATTATATTTTATTGTATGATTTATATAATAAATTAAATTTGGCTGATATCATCTATTTATAATATTTTTCTCAAATTGAAACTTAAATCTTTTAAGTAATATACATGTAAATGTAGTATGTTACTTTTGATAATGATCTAAATCTTAGGATAAAATGTATAATATTTATAATCATATAATGCAATTTATAATAATAATGTAATGTAATATTGTACATTCGCAATACTGCACAGCCCTGTGCCTTATTGCTTAATTATATAGTTCCTCTGTTTGTTCCAATTACTCTTCTGTTCCTTTTTTGCTGGGTGATTTAATCGGGACAGATTTTCTTGTATTACATCATGGCTGGCCCTGAATGAGAACTCAGACAGAGAGACAAATAACTCAGGATTTTGAACTTTAAACACCGTGTTGGACGGCAGGAAGGCCTTGTCTCTTTCTCAGTAGTTCAGTGTGGATGGTGTCATGTAGTTTATGCCATGTTGTAGAAACTAATACCGTACTAATACAGTATCTGTTTATTGGCTTTAAATTATGGGTGTGAGTAATACAGAAAGCATAGAGGATAAACTGTTGTTTCCAAAGTCTGTTTCTCCTGCTGCGGCCTGCAGTGTGTGTGTGTGTGTGTGTGTGTGTGGTTTTATCTGTGGTTGAACATCTGAGACAGAACCTCAGGCTCAGTTTAACCCTCCAAGCTGCTTAATGGTGTTTAAGTACTGATTACTACAGCTAAAGGAACATGATGTGAATTGTATTGTAAATTTGGATTTATTTTATTTTTGTCTTTATGGGATATTTTCACTGAATTTATTAGAATAATTGATAATAATTTATTAGAATAGAATAAATAATTTCTATTCTCTAGTGTCAGTGACCACAGAACCATGATATGTTTTTAAATTAAAATGCATTATGATTAGTCAATATTTTTATAGTATGTAATATATAAATTAAATGCTGTATGAAAATTGTATATCTGTGCTATTTTAGTATTAATCAGATACTGTAATATCTTTTATTTTCTGTTTTTATTTAAATTTTAGTTAAAGTTTTAGCACCTTTGTTTTGTTTTTGTCCCTTTTCTTTTTTGAGTATGCCATAGTTTTTATGAATTTTTTCTTAAGCTTTATCTATTTTAGTACATGAAGTTAAATTAAATAAAAAAGTATTGTCTGAGCAACTAGCTGAAAAAGTATGTTTGCGGTTTTTATATATATTATATTATTTCAGTTAAGTTTTATTTTTATTTCAAAAATAAAAACGTAACTTGTATAAAATATAGTTTTAAAAGTTTAAAACATTTAAATTTTATTAAAAACAATTTATATTAACCATATGGTTAAAATGATATATAAATTAAAGATAACTGATTTGATTATTATTAACTGGACTATATCTTTGCCAGGCTACACTATAATTCTTTAATCGACATCCAAAGAAGTGAAAAGTAATCTTAGTTCCTTAACTGGCTAATTCTAAAATAATGACCATGAGTTTGTAATTGCTTAAAGTTTGTGTCCTCTTGGTGTTTGTGCAGTCTAATTCAATTTCAATGACTAACCGGTACTCTTTAGTGGGTATCTAAATGCATTCTCTGTTTATGTCAAGTGAGGAACTACTACATAATGAAAATGAAGGGCACACAGAGACCTGTTAGCATACGGTTTTATCCTGTGCATTTTTCAATGACTGTAATTGATGGAGAATGACGGCCACATGACTGCTGTGTGTGTGAATGTGAAGACCCTTTCACCCACCGTGACCCGTTGATATGAACTCAAGGAGCCAACTGTTAAGTTACTGCAGTTGCTTTATTGGCTGGACACTTGTTTGAGATCATCATCACCATCGCATGCTAGTTGTGTAATAGTATGTGATTTTTTTTGTACGTGTGAAAAATCTTGCTGCATACTGTGTGTGAACATCAGTGTTGGTTTCAGAGTCTTTGCTTTGAGCTACTATAGGCTGTGAAAATGCACTCAGATAGATGACACCTCGATAAACATGACTTGCGACTTGCTTGTTGAATCAGCAATAATGTGTGAAAAGCTAGATGGTTGATATCATTTTCAAATGACACCGCTGTAACTCTCTAAAAGTGACTGGTGCTTTAGTGCTGATTGATTGTTCGATTGTTTATTTTTTCTTGATTCAGCTTCTGCCTGTCTGAACATGATTAGTATCCAAAGCTAAGTTTATGTGAAATGTCAAAATGGACCATTTTTACGGTTTAATAAATTTATCACATCATATTGTGCACAGTTGTGTTTTGTATTCCAAAGCAAAGATATTTTCATAATTTCTTCTGAAATGTAATAACGTTTTCTGAAGTGACTTTTCTGATGTCATCAAGGCTTTGTGGGCGGGGAAAAATATATGTTACATGTATACAATGTTACATATATAACAAGATATAAGAAATGGTTTTGATTTATAATATCTTAAAATTGCAAAATGCAGGTATAATATGCAAGGAAATCCAATACAGAGAAAACCATCCAGTCATTGAGTATTTTACGTTGCAGAAGTTAAAGTAGATCTTTTAATCCACAATGTACCCAGTTTAACAGGTCTGTCTTGTTGGTAGGGTTGCAGCAGCTGTGGGCCGAGCGGGCGGACTGTCCCAGGCTATCATGGATGACAGCTCCTCTCTGGGCAGAGTGAGCGGCTCCACTGAATCTGTGTCAACTGTCACCAGTGAGGAGTTTGTTCTTGTGCCGCCCACTGCTGGGGGCTCCCCCTCCAGCTCAGAGGGGAGGCCCAGGCTCAAGGTGTCTCTTTCTACTGCCTACTAAGCATCCTTTACTATTTGGTTTAATGTGTCAATAAGAATGAAGTTAAAAGTAATCTAGAATATTTATCCTCTGCCATCTCCCTCTATGTCAGATGTCGTGGAATGGGAGTGAGCAGTTGGAGCGGGCGATGGAGGAGGTGCTGGATGATGTTTGTGATGGACCAGGATCTGCAGAGGAGAAAGGAAGTCCTACAGCACTCAGTTCTCAGATCAGACCACCCAGCCTGACTTTGGACACTGCTCCTCATGGTATTTCCTGCTTGCAGTAACAAACTAACAGACAAACTAACTCTGTTTTATCCCGAACTCCCATTGGTCCTTGTTAAACCATGTCTTATTGTCAATATTTTACAAATTAACCGAGGCAACGCTAAAGTGTACTAAGATATTTCTCTATTATTATTATTATTATTATTATTATTATTATTTTTACAATATACTGTATACAATATATAATAGATTACCTAATTAATTTTATTCTTTTTTTTTTTTAAACTAGCTCTATTTATCATAACTGCTTCCTGTTGCCAAGTGCTAAAATTGGGAGGGCTTTGAACACTTACTTCCTCTCTGCCTTGCACAAACTTCCTCATTCAGTCACTCTTGACAATGGACCTATACATAAAACAAAGGTTTATGAATGCAAGAGTTTATTGTTTGAGGATTTTGACACAAGAATCTAAAGAAATAGTCAGCGTAAAACACATTGTTCTACCCCTTAAATATGATTCGATGAGCCACTTAATGACTTGCATAATATCGCAAATATAAAAACTAATTTTAGAGAAGAAAATAAACAAATACACATTTCTGCAACCGTATACAGTATATTGACACTTCTTTGTCTGTGTCTGCAGAAGCATCAGCAGCAGTTTTGGAGAGTTCAACAGAACAGGAGGAAGACAGCGTGCAGTTCAGTCAACTGTCCTATCTTGGCTGCACCTGGGTGAAGACCCCTCGTAACGAGACGGAGGCCCAGAAAGCCATGGCCACCCTGCGGGCAGAGAGCGCCATCCCCATCCCTGTCACCCTCCATTAATATTTTTCCCAATGCAAATTATATTCCTGAACTTTGATTTTTATTCTTAATGTTATTTTCAGATTTATATTAATTTTTGAATCCCAGTTTTTCAGAGGGTTCTCAGACTTCTGGACTACATCAGTTACTTCTCACAAGCTCGCAACCAGTCACAATGTATTTATTTCCATGTGTTACTCCTGGGGCTTCATAAAAGCTTCAAGACAAACCACATTCAACGTTGGGAGTATAAATGTGACTACTTTGTAGTTTCTGAGTTCTTGTGATCTTCATGGTGTGTGTTTGTCTGTCAAGAGCTAACACAGCTGCCTTCCGAGCTGCTTTTATCTCATGCTTTCAGCTTCGTAAATGTGATGTTGCACTTCTGTTTTCACACCCTGTGTGCGTTTTTTTTCTTCTTCTTTCTCAGGAACTGTGGCCTCAGGTTTAACATCTCACTGTTTCTTCTTCATAAACCTCAAACCATCTCTAAAGTTAGCTAAGTGAACTTTGATGCATGTCGCAGGTGCCACTTTCATTTAGCTTAATTCTGGTGACACCAAACAAAATTTTTGCACCTTAATGCATTATTCGTTAAAGTACTACATCTAAAATATCTTCAGTACTTAATTTTACATCTAAATATCTTATTTAGTATTCACCTAACCACATTATGATTGCACTATTAAAACTTGACCTCTTTTGCTGACTCCAAAATAGGTTTACTTTGCTTTTTTTTATTCTTTTTTGTTTTAAAGGGGTCATATGATGCTATTTTAAAGATCATTATTTTGTGTATTTGGTGTAACAGAATATGTTGACATGCTTTAATGTTCAAAAAACACATTATTTTTCAAATACTGTACATTATTAGTTTAAGCCCGAAAGGGCAACAGAGTCGCGTGACAGACACAGTGTTAGAAGCGTTTTAGGTAGGCGTGGTTGACTCTTAAATTTTTATAAAGAATATCTCTTTGGATTTGAGACTTTAGTCTTTGCAACTTTACAGATCTTCTTTATGCACCAAGAGCTTGTAACACTCCAAAGAGAAAGGAAAACTTGAAATCGCATCATATGACCCCTTTAAATAAAACACCCAGTCAGAGCAAACAGCGCAAAAAGTTGATGTATATTCTAAAAGATGTCACATTATGCGAAAGAGACAGCTTTATCTTTAGTTATATTTATATTTTTATGTTTTTTATTGCTCTAGGATTGTCGACCAGGCCACTGGAACAGAAATTGCATCTTTTCCCATCTATAAGGTGTTGTTCTGTGCCCGAGGACATGAGGGATCTGTCGAGAGTGACTGCTTTTCCTTCACCGAGAGCTACCGCAGCTCAGAGGACTTTCAAATCCACGTCTTCTCCTGCCATATCAAAGAGGCCGTGAGTTGCATTTGTTCATAAGTGTTCATAGAGTAATTTTCGAAACTCAACCTCCTTTCCTTATTTAGGTTAGTCGCATCCTCTATAGCTTCTCAACGGCCTTCAAGCGTTTGTCAAAAGCTGCCACAGACATGCAAGACTCGGTGTTGCCACTTTCCCCTGATGGCGATATCTTCACCTTCACCGTTTCTCTAGAAGTGAGAGAAGATGATGGCAAAGGAAACTTCAGGTCTGTCATTTCTCCGTTCTGAAGAAACTTCAGTTCTCCTTTTCTTGCTCTCTGAGAGTGGTGTTAGTTTTTTCCTGTTGCTATTTACTGAGTGAGATGAACTGTTTCATTTGGTTTCTGTTGTGGGCAACCAGAACATAAGTGCAATTGTGTCTTTCTTAATTTTTTCCCTCTCTCTTCCTCTACATCTTGTAGTCCAGTTCCCAAAGACAGAGATAAATATTACTTCAAGCTTCGTCAGGGTGTACAGAAAAAGGTGGTGGTCACCGTCCAGCAGATGACCAATAAGGAGCTTGTAATAGAGAGGTGGGTTTTGGGATGTGGGAGTTCATGTCAGAAATTCAGATATTTTGTCATTTTATAGAACCATATTTTGCCCTATAATGACTGGCATGACCTTGCCTTTAAATGTCAGAAAATTTACCACAAGTTGAAAGTGAAAGTGGTGGAACATGTAAGAGTTCTCTCTCTTTTAAAAAAAAATGGTTTAACAATAGGATTTAGTTAATGTCACACTCATGAACCACAATTGGCTGCATGCTATTGCTGGTCAAAAGCAGACAGTATTAGCATACATTCTCGTTCTAGACCTAGATATATAATACTTCCTTCATTTATACATATACATTTTTTTCAAATAATTATATAATGTATAATAATTATATAATTATGTGAAAAGACCAAAATTAGTCTATATATGCTTATTATATAAAATCTTATAATATAATCTTTTTATAACCTTTCTTTATAGCAGTTCATGCAGAAAAGTAATATTACATTTGTGTATATATACAAACTTAAAATGCACAACACATGTATAGTATGTATATATACAGGGCTGGAATTTCGGCGTGGGGATTGCGCATAATTCTACTAATTCCCGCAGTTTCCGCGCCTGTAATACGGGAAATTCCTGCAAATATTTCAGTGTGAAAGACGCTCAGGATAGATGACGGAATGTATCATTTGCACGTGCTGTTGAGTCTTACAATTTTAAACATTCAAGTGCTCAATTCAGTACTTGCGTGCTCTCTGTGAGACCCCTTTCTGTGAGCTCACACCCAAAGCGCACGCACATAGGGCCGCATCTGAGAGCGCGCGTTACGCCTTATTGCACGTAAACGGACAAATACATACAAAATTATGTCAGAATGTCCGTCTTGATGAGTATTCGCGTAAACAGTCGATTTATACTAAACATTGGCGGTATATAGGTTATTAAGTGAATGTAAACAGTTAGATCCGTGCATGAGGTCTTAAAGAGATAGCAACCTAAATAAACCTGCTGCTGTCTGTCATTAATGTTTATTTATACATTGAAGACTAACCAGTGTTATTTTGAAGTTAAATAGATTATTGAGTTTCTGTGGTATTTCTGTACCTGAATATTACGGTTATACCTACCTGAAAAACTTAATTTTAGTTGTATCTTGTTGTTGTTTTTGTTTGTGCCATTGCTTGTCATTTATCTATTCTTATTTTAAACTGACTGTTTACTTGTCTTTTTTAATTAAAATAATTTCAATTCAGAGTTTGAAATCAAGGTTCTTTGTAAGTATCTTCCTCACAATATAAATATGAATCAACAACATTATAAATTGTAAAACACAAATACACTGGATGACAAAACATTTAGGTTGGATGATTGCAGTTTAAAGACGGCATGAAATCAAAATGGAAAATTCTTATTTTTTAATGGAATACTGTAGTGTTTATTATAAATAATTTATCCGTGCACAGGTGCACTTCATTATTATTTTTTTTAATTCACGTGCCCTCGTAATCTTTAATCAAAAAACGTTAACCTCCCCTCCCCCTCAAAACGACTCATCTCTTCTGGTCACGAGCTATGGCATAAGTGCGGAGCTAGTGACGTGAGGGGTAAACGTTGGGATAAACTACAGGGGGAAAAGCTGAAGCTGATGCTTCACTTTATAGAAATCAATGCATTGACCAGTGCTGACGCAAGCCATGGGGGAGTACACTACCCTTAAAAATTGAAAGGATATTAGGATATTACCACAACATTACTCTTAGGACATCGCAAACTATTTTTTATGAATATGACCTGATGGAGGACATTCAGGCAGTCTCTCTCTCTCTCTCTCTCGCACACGTGCGCTGTTAGGCATGTTTTGTGCCGTTGATTGTTCTCTTCGTCATCATCCTTAATACATAAAACATTTATTCATGCTTGGGTGTCGGCGGTGAATCCAGTGGAGAGAAATCAGGTATTTTGATGTCATACACCGATCGGTCTGCACACTCAAACAAAGCCAAAACCTAGATATTTTAGGCAGTATAGAAATCCTGGCCAGGACATGTCCTGGGAAAATGGCACATATGGTCACCCTACGAAGGACGAAATCAAGTCCCGCCCTCTCATTTCAGATGCCGTTTCAGCACAACCACTTTGTGAGACTATGAAAATAAGCCCTTCACAAATGTTGCCACGCTCATTTCATATAGAGTATTACAGAAGCTCCAAATCACTCTCTGAAACTATTTTGTAATTAGCAGTTACTTTTATTTAATGCCTTATCCTCAGCATCTAAACCATATATGTTTTCCAGGTGCTTTGGGATGCTGCTCAGTCCTGGTGAGAAAGTGCGGAACAACGACATGCACCTCCTTGACATGGTGAGACATTTCTGGCTCCTCGGTTTTTCTCAGTAATGTGGCTGCTTGTGGTTTAACTCTTGTAGCTGTACCTTAGGCTCAATATTATATGTTAATTTCCTATACCTTGACTCATTTTAATTACCACTCTGTTGCCAATTTTAGAAACACTTAATGGAAATATAGGCTTTTTTATTATTCATTATAAACGTCATTTTACATTGGCCCTTGAGCAAATTAAGTTATGGCGGTTTGCACATCAAGACCAAAGACAATTAGCAGTTCAATCAAGCTTAATTGGGTCCACGGGGATTGTTGAATCAAACATCCTACAAGGTTTAATGTCATACTTTTCTCCATGTTGCCATCTGGACAGTTTAGACTAATGGCATCATTTGATGCTTTGCCCGGTATGCATATATTAGAGTTGTCAATAGATTAAAATAATCCTGATTAATCACATTATTTTTATTATATGTGTTAATGCAATTAGCCTAAAATTTGCTGCAATATTCTGCGCACAAAAACAAAACACAGTAAAATCAGAAAGATGTCTTATTAATGCTGTAGCAGGTGGATTTCATGATATTAATGATATTCTGCCATGCAAAGACTGCAAATGACTTTGCTTTTAATAAAAGTCCCATATGGGTTTGATTTATAGATATCTAATTAGCCCTTAAAAGGATCTTTCTCCTTAATTTCCTCCAACTACTCTTTAGAAATCACTCCCAAATGAATAAAACGCATGTCAGATTAGATAAATGCATGTGATACGTTAAATTTAACACAGTTAAACATATTTAATGAAACTCAGATTAAATCCAGTTGCCCTAGTCATTATATAAGTGATAAACTTTTTTGTGGTTATGTTTGAAGGAGTCTATGGGCAAAAGTGCTGATGGGAAGGCGTATGTAATCACTGGCACCTGGAATCCAAATACTCCTGCTTTCCAGCCACTGAACGAGGACACGACAAAAGGTACAAGCTAATACACAATCCTTGGTTATCAAGAGTCTCTAGTGCTTTTCAGTGCACATCATGCTGTGATCGAATTTACAGTTGTGTTTTTTTGTTTTGTTTTTCTCACAGAAATTCACACTTTTTCTGCCGTCAATTTTTTTTTCTCACATTGCTTGCAAGCCTTACAAATTTACTGCTTCAACCATGTTGGGTATATATTTCACCGGCTTTTCTTGTCATGGGGTCAATAAGGGTTTCATTAATGGGTCATTAATGTCAATATATAGGTAATATAAAACTACGTAAATATAGGCACACACATTATTAAATAATTGATATTATATTTCTAAAGTAAAAGTAATTAATGTAATTTTAAACACTTAACTATTTTTAATTGTATATTTTATTTTATGTATTCATGCAATTACATTAAATTATATATTTCATTAATACATATTGTCATATATTATATATGATATATATATATATTGTACATATTGTCAAAATTCCCTCAAAATATTTAAAATGTGTAATTTATTGTCAAATTCTAATCTTCAATTTGATGTAATTTATGGTGTAATTAAAACTTACAAATTGAATAAAAAAATGTTGTTGTTTAATTTTATATAATTTATATTTTATATGATAAATTATTCAAAATTAATTCTTCAAAATTCACTTAATATTTCATTGACAAGGCTGCCTGTAAAACTGATGACAAGAAAACATTGATTTTAAAACAAACAAACAAAACAAAACAAAAAATCCCCTCAAAATATTTAAAGTGTTATTCATTGACTAATTCTGATCTTCAATTTTATATAATTTATGGTATAATTAAAACTTACAAATGTAATTTAAAGGCACAATATGTCATTTTCGCTGCTGGAGGGTGCGTAGGTCCGTGTCACTAGTTAAAATTGCTTATTTTTTTGGATTTAAACATTCTTCGAAACATTTGGGATAATGCAAGTACACAAGTCAGCAAAATATATAACACTGTTATAGTGGTTTTTGGATATTTTAATAAAAAAATCTTACATATTGTGCCTTTGACAGTTTCTGTTGTTCAATTTTATTTCATTTATATTTTATATAATAAATTATTCAAAATTAATTCTTCAAAATTCACTTAATATTTCATTGACAAGGTTGCCTGTAAAACTGATGACAAGAAAACATTGATTTTAAAACAAACAAGCAAAAACAAACAAAAAAATCCCTAAATGTCAGAAAGTCAGAGTTGTCCAACTTGGAAGCAGTAATGGCCTCTTTATTTAATGACTCAAATTACTTGAGTACCAGTTATCCTAATCATAGTGTATGTATTGTTGATTTGGTATGAGGCCAAAGTAGAAGCAGTGCATCTTGTTACTGCAGCTTTAATGTTCTGTTGTGAAATTATATGGAGTTTTCTTTGAAATTGAATTCCAGTCTGGTAGATTCAGATAACCACCTCGGTTTAAATAGCGTTTAATTCAGCAACCTGAATGAGTTTTTCATTTGAAATCTACACTTTATTAGACTCGCAGTAAAACTTTTCACAGACCTCAGCGTGGTTTTGTGTCTGTTTGTAAGTCTCAGTCGAGGCCCACCACGGATCTTCTTTTATTTACCTCCCCATCTTTCTCACCGCCGTCTTTTCTGACCTGACTCTATCGTAATTGGAATCTATTTTCAGCGATTCCCTCATAAATCTGTAACTATTGCTGTCTTTGTTTCCTGTTAATTGAAATAATAAAAACCCCTTAGTGTGAAACGGACTGGTTTTCACTCATTTGTGATTAGTTTCTCTCAGCAGTCTGCTTTTTTTTTTTCATAATTATAGGGCTCACCTGAGAGAGAATATCATGAGATCAGTTCCCAGAATGCTATTTTTACCACATTTGACTGGATATAAATAATCTAAGCTGATTTGACTCTTAGTTTCAGTGTAAACGTCATGAAACTTGCATGAAATTTTTACACAGCTGCTTTTGAATGGCTTGGTTTGAGTTTGATTGTATTGTGAAATGTGGGTTTATGTTTTTACTGGTCAGTATTTTTGAGGCAGTATGTGAGTTTTGTCTTTAACTGTGAGTTTTTTCTCCTCCAGACAAGCAGGTATACATGACGGTGGCAGTGGACCTGGTGGTGACCGAGGTTGTAGAACCTGTTCGGTTCCTCATGGAGGCGCTAGTGCGGGTCTATCCAGCTAATGAGAGATTCTGGTATTTCAGCAGGAAGGCCTTCTCTGAAACGTTTTACCTCAAGCTCAAACAGGTACACTCTAAAGCAAACAAAATATTCAAAGATACATCTTTATTGAGTTCTGAACCATCAGCAAGTGTGTAAGTGCTTTACAGATAAATATATTTGGGTTTATTTCGTTATTGTAATGACAATTAAAGGTGATAATTGATTAAATAAATAAATAAAATTATATATACACACACACACGCAAAAATATATACCTCAGCCTGTGTTAAGAGAATTTTTAAATAAAACTATAATAGAATATATTCTTATTAATTTATTTAAGTGAATTAATATCTAACATAACATTCATACATTCATAAAAGACAACAATTATATTTTATTTAATATTTGTTAAGTGTGTGTGTGTGTAAATATATCTATCAAATATAATATTTACATAATTATTTCTATGATTATATTTATGTAATATTTATTGTGTATATAATATTCCTGAACTTATTTTTTACAAATCTACAACACATTACACATAAAATATAAATATTGAATAATTGTGTGTGTGTGTGTGTGTGTGTGTGTGTGTGTATGTATGTATACTCAAGCTCAAACAGGTACACTCTAAAGCAAACAAAATATTCAAAGATACATCTTTATTGAGTTCTGAACCATCAGCAAGTGTGTAAGTGCTTTACAGATAAATATATTTGGGTTTATTTCGTTATTGTAATGACAATTAAAGGTGATAATTGATTAAATAAATAAATAAACTTTTATATATACACACACACACACGCAAAAATATATACCTCAGCCTGTGTTAAGAGAATTTTTAAATAAAACTATAATAGAATATATTCTTATTATATCATGTAAAATAAAACCAATAGATAGATATTTAATATTTTTTGTCTTAAAAGATGAAGCGGGGGTGAACAATAATGCACCTTTTATTTCACCATTATGAAATAAATAAGAATAAGATATACATTAAGAGACTGGGTTCAAAGTTAGAAAATGTATATCTTTTGTTTCACCAATTAATTCATTTCAATTATTATCACCTTTAATTGTCTTGAAAATAATGTGACCGTGCCAAAAATCAAAACTCTATAGGCTTTTAAAATCTAATTTCTTATTTTTGGGTGTTGAGATACGACCTGGAAACGTTGTTGACTGGCTTCATGAGATTCACCCTTTTCTTGCAAAGCCTGTGAACTGCCTATGAACAGTTATAGGCAGTGATGTAGCGGCTGCACAGATTGGAGAACAAACCTTGAGGAAGGAAGTGAGCTTTTGTGAAGGGTGAATAGGAGCAGTAACTCCTGGAAGCTGTGAAGCGGCAAATGGAGGCTTTGTATAATTCGTAGTTTAATAAGAGGCCCGGCGCTCATTATCATGCTCAAGTAATTAGAGCTTGCAGCCTGCATCTCTGCCTGATTGCCTCCGTAGTTATCTTATCGAATAAGAGCGAAAGAATGCCTGGGCTATAGTTAAAAGCTAATTAAAAGATAATATTATGGCGTTAGCGATAGACCCAGCCCATTCTCCACGTTATTTTATTATTTCGTAGTGTAATGGATATAAATATTTTATACATGTATGGTTTTTATTAATGAATGTTTTGTATACATTAATGTTTTAATATCTATATAATGTTTTAATATCTACATATTCATACATTCAGAAAATACTATTATTTAATATTAATATAATATTTGTTCATTTATATGTATGTGTATAAAGTTATTTCTATAATTAATATTTATTGTGTATATATAATTATAATATTTATTTCCACAAATGTCACATTACATTCCTAAAATATAAATATTGAATATTTATTTAAATAATATTCTAATATTTACATAGATTAGTTATATTGATAATTATTTATATATGAAATTATATATAAAATAATCAAATATGTACATACACAAATCTATAACGCATTGCATTCATGAAATATAAATATGTATCTACATATTTACATAAATATGATTTCTATAATTAGATTTATATCATATTTCTACACATTTTTATGGTGCTTTTTTTGTCTTTTTGTCCACTATTTAGTTTCATTATATTGAAAAGAGTCTCCAGTGCATTGTACAATCATTTTTGATTAATTATTCCATATATATTGTCAGTACTGTGCATTTTTCTTTCATATTGTTTTCTGTTGGATACTGTAACCCTAATGATGCAACTGCACAGTATTTGTAAGGCATCTCTATGGCTTTGACATGCTGCTTTGTTTACAGTGTGTTCGCTCTATATGTTTGCAGGGCACAGGGAAGGGCAGCCAGGGAGATGCCATGTATGAAGTGGTCAGCCTGCAGAAACAAACAGAATGTGCAGCAGGAGCACGTGGCCGCCTGCAGTCTCCCACTGAGGAAGAGGAACCAGAAGAAGGTGCGCCACTGTCTAGTTTATCAGAGTTTTTCTGAGTTTTATGTTTGTTGCCATTTTGAGGTCTCCTTTTTTTTTTGAGGTGAACTGCTTTAAAGTTTAAAATAAATATTATATTAAAAAAGTATAATTTTATATGAATGTAAATTTTATATTAATATAAATTTTATATTGATGTAATAAAAATATTATTTTAAAATGTTTATTACATTTATATTTACTAACTTTACATTAACATATATTAACTGTATTACTTTATTAGTTTTAGATTTACAGTGTTTCCCATACATTGATTTATTTGTGGTTCATTGAGTCCAGCAGGAGTCAGATTTCACTGATCAAGTGAAGAGACTGAGACAATTTAGAACAGCCAGTTTAGTTTTACTTTTCTTTTTGTTTTCATTTTGAAAAGCCTGTTGTCTTTGCTGTCTTTGAAGCTGACTGCTTGTATTTATTGACAAAATTGTATACATGTGAAGTAAAATTGAACATTGAGGATGCAGTGCATCGTCGATGCATCGTGATATCGAATTGAACCGAATCAATGACATGATAATCGTAACCGAACCGAACCGTGAGACCAGTGTAGGTTCACACCCCTAATAAAATATAGTATAGAGTTTATTGTAATTGAATGCATTATAGACATTATATATCATTTTAATTTTGTAAAAAAAATTCAGACAATAATTTTACATTTTTCTACAAAAATATGTATATCTATTTTATTTATTTATGTATTTTACTTTTTATGATTAGATCAAATCATGAACCTGTTAAAGTAATTTAATTTCCATGTGAGTTTGCAGACTTGCCCCACTTACCCCCATCCATTCTCACGAATACCGGAAAAATGACCATCTCTGAGCTTATTCAGATCTCTTTTCAGAGCGAGAGGGAGGGAATGTATGTATGTATGTTTTTTCCCCCACCAAATTTTAACATTATCAACATTCGCTCCCCTTGCGTTTTCCTGCCTGCGGTTTGGCAGCAAGCCAATAACATCAGGAATCCATCGCAAGCTTTAATTTAGTCTCGGCCGGTAGCTCTAGGTGAAGTGTTTCAGCCGTCTGTCTTTTTCACGAAGTGGAGACAGCCTGTGTTTTTGACAGGGTGCCACAAGCCGGAGATGTGAAACCCTGGCGGCTTTCAAGTGGTTATCAGCGCCCATTTCAGAAGAATGGATTCCAATTTGGTTAAGTGGTATTGGCTCTCGGGCTCTGTGTGTCATCTGACCACCTGGAACTGGCCGTTTTTTCTTCTTTCTTCTGTTTTTGTTGATTGATTTTAGCACATAACATGGACTAATGATTACGTGGGTTTGAGTTGCATGTTAAATATCACTTAAACAACCCTCTACATTGCGAGTAAATCACTCGCATATGCGACTAAATCTTCACTCTGGGCGACTAAATGATGTCTAATATTAGCCAATGGCTAATAAATTCTCAGATTTTACTCGCCAGTGTGTGAGTTGGAGGCTGAGTATAAGTTTAGCTCAGATATATTTTCACTCACAGAACTCTCTGACTGAGCGCTTCAGTTTCACTCTCCATCAAGCGATCTGTGCTGTTTTTCAATTCATCTGAATGGATGTGCAACGCACCTGTGTTTAACGTACCGTGAACTCTAGTGTGAAGGCGCACGACTCGCCGTCGCTTTGTTTCACACACACGCAGAGAGAGAGGGAGAGAGAGAATTGACGCGCTACATGTAAACGATATTCTTTGTTGTATTTTGCTGTCAAAATAATGGCGTTCCTTTGGAATTCTTCAGCTTTTAAGAACTACCGCTTTCTCCGGTAGTGGGCGGAACTAATGCGCAAACAACACTCTCAGTGGCTGGTGCTCACCTATTATCGTCCCTGTTTTGATTTCAGCAAATCAGTTCGAGCGAACGCACACA